CCCATCTAGTCATCTGTTTATCTACCCATCCATCCATCGACCCATGCGCTCATCCATTTACCCATCCATGCATTCATCAAAACTTTTGGGCTTTTGTCAATACCAGGCAGTGATGATAATCACTTGGGATACGTCAACAATCAAAGCCAAAAAGATCAAGTCCCTGCCCTCACAGGGCTTGCATTCAATCTCAGTAGTAATGAAAGAATGAAATTAAAACAGCAGTGCTTCACTGAACAAGACCACCTAGTTTTAAAAGACAAGATGTGTTGTTCTAAATGAAAGTACTCTCTAGGAGTTAGGTTTGGAAAGAGGTGTTAGTGATACAAAAATGCTTATGAGGAACGCCTGGGTGGCTCAGTTGGTGAAGCGTCTGCCTTCAGCTCAGGTCATGATCCCAGGGTCCTGGGATCGAGCCCACATGGGGCTCCTTGCTCAGGGGGGAGCCTGCTTCTCCCTCTGCCTGCTCTGCCTACTGCTCCCCCTGCTTGTGTGCTCTCTCTGACAAATAAAGAAATAAAATCTTAAAAAAAAAAAGGTTCTAAAAATGCTTATGAGGCACTCACAGGGATGCCACCCACACGCGCACACAGGTGGGCTGATCCACGGGAGTTGGTGAAGGGAACGGGAGAACGAGTTAATGACAATGAGTCCGTAAATCTGGGTACTTTCCACTCATGTTCTCCGTGCATTTGGAATCTTTTACCCCAATCCTGTGTCTTACACAAGAGAGCAGTGGGCGGGGGAGGGTGAGCTCGGGCCGCGGGGACGGGAGAGCCGGGCAGAGACCTTCAGGTAGAACTGGTAGATGTCAGCGGCCGCGCTCATCTCCAGCACGTTGCAGACAATGAGCTTACAGACCACGGCCAGCATGTTTCTCCTGTGGAACAGCTCATGCAGCTCGTCCGCATCCTCCTCCTTGTAAACTCTGCTGGGACCTGGAGAGACAGCCCACTCTCTGCCATGTCATCCTGCAGCCCCCCCTTGCCACGGGGCAGGCAGGGGCATGGCAGGGGCACGACAGGGCACAGCAGGGAGTCCAATGGGTGGGCTCAGGGGTGCCGGCGTCGTCTCCGGGGACCAGTGCCAGGACAGCAGTGGGTCAGAACCACCCCTGGACATGCTGACCCCCAGAGCACAGACCCAGGGCCACACAGGAAGCACCGAGTGCCGCAGGGCCCCTGTGTTTCCAGGTCCTGACCGCCCGGTCAGGGCTCCCCCCGACCCTTCTGTGGCAGCATGAACCAGGAAGACAGACGTGTGGGAAATGCAGCTCCAGATTCCAGGGTGCTAGAGCACCCCACAAGGCCCATCCACCTCCCACCCCAAGCCCCCACGGGCCCTCCCGCCCCTGGGCTGCCGCAGGAATCCCCACCCCAAGGTCTCTCCCCCTTCCCTGCTCCAGGCCCCTGGGAGGCTGACCTGCGGCTCCTGTGTCCTCCAGGAACACGTGCTCCCTGACGAAGGTGAGCAGCTTGCACTGCAGGACATGATCGGGGACGAAGAACAGTAGCCCCAGGCCCGTGTCCTCCTCGGGGCCCTGGTGGCTCAGGATGAGCAGCAAGTCACAGAGCAGGATGAAGGCCTGAGGGGGTGTGAGGGGGTGGGGGTGAGGGTGCACCGACAGGGACAGGCATCCACCCCACAAGGACAGATCCCGTCTGCTGCCCCCGCAGCCTCCCAGGGCGACCCAGGGATGGGTGAGACCCGTAGCACACGGAGGGGTACAGCCCCCGGCCCCTCGAAGACATTCCCCCTCTGAACCCCACCCTGCAAGCTCTGCACCAGAAACACACAACACACAGACGTACAACATACACACCAGGAACAACACACAGTGAGCGGAAATGTCCCCAACATCCAGGCAGGACAGCGGTGCAGGCTAAGGCCGTGGCCAAAGCCCCATGGACAGCAAACCGCGGACACATACTTGTGACCGAGGGGGGCGGGGCAGGGACGGGGTCACAGGACCGAGTCAGTGGCTGGCAAAGGAGACACACGCTCAACCTCCTCAGCCATCGACGGTCAAACGGGAGGTGGGTTTTATCTAAGACGACGGGAGAGGGTCTTTTTAAAATTCACACCCGCATCGGAAAAAAGCAGGCAGGTGACTGAGCCTGTAAGGTGGCGGGAAGCAGGGTGGCTGGGTCCGGCATCGTGAAGCCTTTAGAACGGCTTCCCCGGAGACAGGAGATCACCCTGAAGATTTTGTGTACCGCAACCACCAGAGACACGGTGGGCAGGAATTAACACCCAAAGCGTGTCCACCACCACAGCACCGGTAGCCGATGACAGGAGCTTCCGCCAGGCTGGTATAAACGGGCCGTGCGCATGGGCTCCCGTAAACCGGGGCCGTGAGCGTGGGCTCTGGGCTCCCGTCAATGGGGGGGCGTGCACGCGGGCTCTGCGCTCCCGTCACTGGGTGGGGGGGGGGAGAGGCATGCACATGGGTTCCCATAAATCGGGGTGTGCAAAGGCATGCACACCACTTCATATAAATGAGATGCTCCCACGACTTTACACTGTTTGAGGACAAATGTCACCCCACGAGACACACACTGAGAGGAGGAAACAGCATCCCATGAAACACTGAGTGCCCTGATCATCACAAGCACACGTGCCCGGGCGTCTCTAACGCCCCTCCTCTTGCTCGGCCAGCCCTGGGAGCACCTGGTGAGCACGGAGAGGGACACACGCACCTTCTCGCTCAGCACCTTGCTCTGGTGGTTCAGGTACACGCGGCAGACCAGGCAGAACTTCATCAGCCTTTTCCTCAAGTCCAGGAGCGCCTCCTGCCAGCGAGCAGCCAGCGTGCAGGTGCCTCCCGTCAGGTGAACCCGTGAGCGAGCTCGCCAGGTACCTGCCCGCCTCAGGTGAGCCAGCGCGTCAGGTGCATCCCAACCCAGATTAACCCTCACGTCCACCCTCCGTCCTCCATTTCCCAACCTCCCCCCACATCCCTCTCCCCGACGTGTACCCCCACATCCCCCTTCCCCCATCTCCCTCCCCCTCCCCTCCCCCATCTTTACGCCCATATCCCCTCCCCCATCCCCCCTCCCTGTATCTCCGTGGTCCCCCACACCATATTCTGCCCCCACTGGCCCACACTACATCCCAAGGAACTCAGGCCTGCAGGTTTCCAGGAAACCATAAGTATAGCCCCAAAGTGTGGTTGGCTTCAAACTAAGGGACGGGCCAGCAGCCAAGGACAAGGGTCTCACCCAGCGCACACAGAAGCAGGTACTCAGAGATCACCTGAGCCTCACTCCGCATGGCAGGTGGACAGGCTGCATGGCGGTGTCGGCCATGACCCAAAGTCAGCTCTCATGTCAGAGTCCAGGAGCCCTGGCCGGACCCCGGGAGGATGGATGCAGCCAGTGGTGGGGGCGGACGCCTGTCAAAGCGGCAATGACGGCCCTGTCCCCCTCCATCTTCCCCTCCTCCCAGACTACCGCAGGCCACACCTGACCTCCTCCGCGCCCCTCACCCACCTGGGGCGGCAGCCGGTCCGTGGCTGCGACGATCTGCCACAGGAGCGCATAGTAGGTGCACTGGAGCGCACAGTGGACAACCTGTGGGGCGCGGAGCCTGTCATGGAGTTGGGGATGTGGATGGGACACCCACCCTGGGAATATTCCTTGGCAGGGGACCCTGAGACCTCACCCAGTACCTGCCCCTCTCCCCTCAGGACCCTCCCCCCATGCTTCCCTCCCCTCAGGACGCTTCTCTCCTCTCAGAACCCGTCCCCCCTGCCCCCAACAAGGACCCACCCCTCACGCCCTCCGCCCTCACCTCAGTGGGCAGGCTGCCCTGGTGCCTCCGGAAAGTCAGCAGGCTATCCATCTTCTCGTACAGGTTCCAGCTGCTCAGGTCGTGTGCGCTGGCCAGAGACGCACACAAGGAGTTTTAGGGCCCAGCCCCATCAGGAGCTCCAACATCCCCCAGGTGGGCCGTGAACACTGGTCAGTAGGCCCTGGAGCTGAGGGATCACTTCCTGGCCGGCTGAGGGGCCACCCACCCCAGATGGCTGAGCTGGGCTCCCTCCGGTACGACGTCCAGCACCTGCTTGGTGAGGCAGTCCCTGCTCCTGGGAACACGGCTCGGGGCCCCAGGTGGGCAGGATGGGCTCCCAGGTGCCCCAGAGCCACCGGGCACACCCACAGGACAGCCCCCAAAGGTCCGAGCGCTCCCTGCCTCACCTGGGACACGGGGACGTTTGTCAGAGTAAGGCAGCAGGCACATGGCTTGGGGGTCATGTGTGTCCCCCCCGAGGGAACCGGCCGCGCGTCGCCCCGCTCACCTGTAGAAGGCAGCCAGTCTCCGCAGCGTGGAGCAGATCCGCCCCATCTCACCGTGTCCAAGGAACAGGCCCTGTTTCTACACAACGGGGAGAGAGCAGAGGGGGTGGTGACGGGACAGGCACTTTCCAGGGGCGGGGGGGGGAGGCTTCCCCGGGATGCCAGACCGGCTTCGAGCCAGGCCTGCGCTCCTGCCTGCTCTGTCCCCCAGTTTCCGGAAGGCAGCTCTTTAAAATCTCAAAAAGGGCAACAGTGCCCCAGGCCATTCTGTGTCCAGCTCTGGAGGAAATGAGAGGGAGCAGAGGACACCCCCAAAGACGCGTAGGCTGCCGACGACGAGGACAGTCAGGGTCTGAGATCGACCATCTCTGTGCACTTCCCTCACATCCCCGTCAAGAACGCATGACAGGGAACACGTTTCTCACTTTACAGCTGAGAGAACACACGGAGAAGCCTGTCGCTGACCTCGAGCTCCCCACATTCGTGGCAGGCCCTGGGCTGGGGGATATGCAAGCGCAACCTGGAGTCCTGCTTGTGGAAATAAGCGGGACCTCACAAGCAAAGTGCCTGAAGCAGGGCCAGACACCTGGCCTTCAGCCTGTCTGTGTCAATAAAGTTTTATTGGAACACGGCCCCAGTGACGTGTTGTCTCCGGTGCTCTCGTACTACCACCCGAGAACAGGTTTACCCGCTCAGCCAAAAAATGTTTATGATGTGGCTCTTTACAGAAACCATCTGCCCGCCAAGTGTAGACAGGCCAGTGCCTCTGTCAGGGCGTGTTTTCTGGGGGCTTACGGGGCTCCTGCGGAGAATAACAGAATACTTTGTTACCAGCCCCCACACGTTCCCACACCCGTCATAGATGCAGCAGGAACAGTCGGGGCTCAAACGGAGAACCCACCCTGTGTCCCCAGAGACCAAGAGCCGGTCCCCCAGGTACACGCTGGCGAGTTCACGGAGCTGACCCCGGACAGGTGCGCAGCTTTACGAAACGTCAACAGAACAGAAAGGATTGAGCCTAAGCATCTTCGATCAGCACGTCCTCCCTACCGCCGTGGATTTCTCCACACCCTTCACGACACACTCCATACCCACACCTACACCCAACATGCACACCACCCACATCACACACCCCACTCCCCCAAACACCCCCACAGCCAGCACCTCATTTTGGATGAACACGTCCAGCAGTGGGGTCAGCACGTCCACCAGCATGTCCACCAGCCGGCTGCAGGCGGGGGCAGCCTGGCAGTGGGCAGAGCCCCCTTCGTCACAGTAGGTGCCGTAGGCGCGGGCACAGGCCTCCAGCACTGCCACGTCCGAGTGCCGCTGCACCAGGCAGTCCAGCTCTAGCAGGGCTGCGTCCAGGTACTGCGCAAGGCGGGGGGGGG